GCCGGCTCCTCCTCTCCGGGGAAGGCACCGGCAGGGCATCCGGCACCACAACCCAAAAACCACGAACGTGATCTCCGAAGTGGCGCCAGCTTCTCGGCACGCCAGAGCTGTTCGCTAGGCTTGAAGCCGCTTGCGCACGACTCCTCACGGGCCGGCTCCTCCTCTCCGGTGAAGGCACCGGCAGGGCATCCGGCAACCCCAACCCCAAAACCACGAACGTGATCTCCCAAGTGGCGCCAGCTTCCCGGCACGCCAGAGCTGTTCGCTAGGCTTGGAGCTCCGAAATTGGAGAGCCTCTCGCCGGCGCTGTGCTAGGTGAGTGTGGACGATGGGCCCTGGAACCCTTTTGTACCTGCCTCTTCTGCCACAGACTTGGAGTGTGAAGGCTTCCTTCAGCCGGTTTCCGCTCCGATCTGTCTTCCCTAGCTTCCCCCCCACCGCCACAAACACACACTGCTTCCTCCTTATTTTGAAGTGGGGGGGAGGACGGAAAAGGGTGAGCTTAAAAGCACCTCCGCGTTAACTTGGCATTTTCCTGCAACTGAAGATGGGGTGCCCTAGAATTTCGGGCGGGAGGGAGGAAGAAGGCGGGACCAGCTATCCGAGAAGTAACGGGGACCCTGAAGGAAGGCCAGCATCATCCTTCCCCAACGATCCCTTAAGCACTTTGTTCTGAGGCAGTGTGGTATAGTGGAGAAAGGCTCCGGTTAGAAGACTCCGGGGACCTGAGTTCAAATCCTCCCCGAGCCATGGGGTAGTTCAGTGAAAGGAGGAGCAGGCCCCCCTGCGAGAGAGAGATTGGGGCGCCGTTCCCCGGGGGGTCACGGGCAGAGCTGGGATAGGGAAGGCTGGCAGCGACTCTTCCTTCCGAGTAGGCGCTCCCCCCCCTCCGTCGCGCCCGCCCAGAAGGCAGGCTTCGTTCGCTTGATGGAAAGGGCGAAGCCCGCGCGTGTCCGAAAGGGAGCCGCGGGAGAGACCCACGACGCCCTACATCGTTTTAGGACTGTCGGTGGACGAGCCCGCCCCTTGCCTACCCAGCTTCCTCCTTACGGGCAGGGTTGGCTGCAGCCACGGTTGAAGTCTCTTGAAATCCTTTTAGAGCAACTGCTCAGCCGGTGGATGGAAGCAGCTTCCTCTCTGCCTACACTCCCCGTAGAAACAAACGGGTGGGACAGCCCAAGTGCCTCTGGGGTGATATTAGAATCTGTTACTGTATATGTTTGCTGAATCTTGATGCTTAGGATTTTGGTTTTCAACCAGAGCACTGCGGCAGCCAAGTTTACAGAGCAGTTGACTCACTAGTTCCTCCTAATTCAAGGGGCCAAGTCTATTTTTGACTAATTACACCAAACAGTGGGATTTCAGCCATTCTGCAAAGAGACAATCCCAATGTTTTCTGTTTATGTAATTTATATTAAAATGAATATGATATCAATAATAACGGGCATCCTTCAGTCTGGAGAGACTGTGGCAATGTGCTCTGAATAGTCGTCTTGGAACAGCAAGGAGTGACAATCCCTTCCACACTGAAGACAAATGCAATCTGTCCTCCCTGATTTGGCTGCTTCTGGGACTGCCTCTTTGCCTCAGCCTGCTGGACAAGGGTCTTTTCAAATTGGGAGAGGCCGTGATGCAACGCCTGCCTCCAGGCTGAATGCTCAGATGGCAAGGTTTCCCATCTGTTGAGGTCCATTCCTAAGGCCTTCAGATCCCGCTTGCAGATCTCCTTGTATTGCAGCTGTAGTCTCCCTCTGGGGCACATTCCATGCACTAATTCTTCATACAGGATATCTTTTGGAATTTGATATTAATACAAGGGAAATTAATCATAACCTCACCGCAGCATCACATCAGAGAAGATATTGTGTAAATCTTAGAACTGCAGAGCTGGAAGGGATCCTATGAATCATTCAGTCCCAAATAAGAAAATGGGAAGCCTCTTCTGAGTATTCACTACCCAGGAAGTCCTGTGAATAATTGAATTGTTGACTTATTGTTATTATTAGAGTTCTTATTTGTTGTTTAGTCATTAAGACTCTTCATGACCCCATGGACCAGAGCATGATAGGCCCTCCTGTCTACCACTGCCTCCCGGAGTTGGGTCAAATTAATGCAGCCTAGCATCCTCTAGACGTTTTTGACAACAGCTCCAGTCAGCATCAGCAAACACAATTAACAGCCACAGTGATGGAATTCATTGTCCAAAAGATCTGCCTTTCACTGATCTGTGGGTATTAAATACCAGTAGATCACAAGATCTACGGCCTCTGTCCTATCCTCTCTTCAGCATCACCTTTTCCTCCTAAGATCCCACTTCCCCCTCTTTCCCACAAGCATCATCATCACCATTCCTCACAATCTCCCATTATGTTATTTAATGTGATAGGTAGTTGAAGCCTTTATCAGGCTGCTAAAGATTATAAAAAAGAAGCTAGCTTAGGCCCTGTCATGGTCTTCATCAGGTTGGGTACCACAGTGCTGAGATTGATGCGCGGGGCCCAAAAATTATGGCCACATGTCTATCCCAGGTTTTTTGGTTTTTTTAAAAAATTCAAAATGGAGATTATAAATATAAGGAGTTTCACTTGAGTTTGCAGCCCCCATTTTGAAATTCTACCCCTAGGCTTATTGGGTGGTTGTCTCTCCCAATCTTGCTAGAGAAAAGGCTGCTGGACATTCAAACTTTGCCCTCGTCCTCTGTCGCCCTGCCCTGAAACACACAATTTAGAACACTAGATGAGCCAATTGTAACCAAATGAACAGCATTATATAGTGGTAGGAGGAAGATCTTGGTTTGTAGTTGTACTTGGGTGACGTTAAATGCCCATGGCAGGGTAGTTTCCATAATCCAACAGAAAACAAGAGAGAAAAACCTAGTCCAGCAGAAAGGGAAACGAAATCAGTTATGACACTCTTCTCCATCTTTCTCAATCAGCTTATTGTCTCTGCCTCCCTCCCATTTAATTCCTATTTAACCCCTATATTGAGGTCTGACTTCAAGAGTCTTAAGGCAAGGATGGAGAACTGAGGCAGGGGGCACTCACTGAGGGCTCTACCTGCATTTGCATCAGATACTAAATGTGCCACTGTAGTGAAAAATAGGTGTCTGCCTCCTTGTTTAGAAGTGAAATTACACTATTTGTTCTTTACAAATTGGTGGTTTTGCATCTCTTCTTCCTTTTTTTTAAACTAGTGATTAATTTTTAGTACAATATGAGTAAATTCAAATAGCACTTCTTAGTAATGACTTAAAAACAGTCATTCTACTAATATCCACAATAACTTTCTAATGTTATGAGAAAGCGTGTTGTGTTTTTTTTTGTCAGATATAATATAATGTTAAATCTTAGGATAATAGTGTATAGTAGGTATTTTTCTCCACTTTATTCAAACTAATTTTAGTGTTGTCAAGAGATTTTTATTGCTATCGACGAGGTGCTTATGGGATTTCCTACCTCAAAGTTTGTGTGTGCAGAGTGGGTACCATGAGCTTCTCTGCCGGAGCCAGGAAAAATAATTTGGCCCAGCCTTGAATATGTGGCTCATGAGGTAGGGCTTATGTCTCTGACAAAAACCCAAACCAAATTTGTTTGTTTATAGCTCCACATAGAGTATGTTACAGTAATCCAGGCCCAGTTTCATTGAGGTTCAAACCCTTTTGGACCACTTAATTATATTTGTATCTTGCATGTCCTCCGGTGAGGTCAATGCAACGCAGGTGGCTTTTCTCTTCCTCCTACCCTAACAGGCAAAGCCGTGAGGTAGGTCAGCCTGAGAGAGCATGACCCGTCAAAGGTCATTGGTGGTTTTCACACCTTAGTGGCTCAAGATTTTTTAAAAATGGTGTGCTTTCAACCTCCCTTATCTGTAGATCCTGGGAGTTGCCATCTTTACACTTCCAAAAAAGGAATAAAAGAGAAGAGGGCTTGTAAACAACTAGTTACAAACAACACAGCTTGTAACTAGATATAGTTTCAATAGGCACTCATGTAACTTATAGTTAAACATCTGCTCTTTAGTTGTAACAACAGCTTTGTTACATAGTGGCAGCTAAATACTGGGTACTGTACTTTGAAAGAGATTTTTTCAATGTTTTATGTTATTTTTCTTCTCAGTCCCAAATAGCAAGGAAAGCATTCTTTAGCTTTGTCTTTTGCAATTTTATATGCCTTTCCAAGGCACGGACAGTATCAGGGTTGGGCATTAGATGAAACCAGACAGTATTTTTCTGAGCTGTTGGAAAAGGCCAGCACAGTGCTTCAACAAATGTCTTGTATATTTGGATGGAGCAGAAATTTATTTGTTTGTTTGTTTAATTTCTATACCACTCATCTGGCAACCCAGGTGACTCTGGGTGGTTTACAGGGCAACCCAGGCCACTCTGGGTGGTTTACAGAATAAAGTAAAGGTAAAGGTTCCCCTAGACATTCAGTCCAGTCGTGTTCGACTCTAGGGGGCAGTGCTCATCTCTGTTTCCAACCCATAGAGCTAGTGTTTGTCCGAAGAGAATCTTCCATGGTCATGTGGCCAGTGCGACTAGACATGGAACGTGGTGGTACCTATTTATCTACTTGCATTTAGCATTTTGTATGCTTTCAAACCGCTACGTTGGCAGGAGCTGGGACAAGCGATGGGGGCTCACTCCGACATGTGGATTCGATCTTATGACTGCAGGTCTTCTAACCTTGCAGCACAGAGGCTTCTGCAGTTTAACCCACAGAGCCATCATGTCCCATGGTTTACAGGACACCGCAGAGGCTTCTGCAGTTTAACCCACAGCGCACCATGTCCCCTGATTTACATAATACCATAAAATAAAATATAAGAACAAACAATACAAGGCAGACAATAAAAAATAATTAAAAATTACCATAAATTCAAAGAATAATGGAGGAAGGGCAATAAGGCCATCAAGTCCAGCCCTCTGGTCAGTGCAGGGCAAGCTAATTGCCAAGGAATAACATGTCATATAACAAGGTTCTCTTAAAATGCAACATTTTAACTTGGCAAGAAAGAGAACACATTTTTTAATAAAATGAGCATATGCTTGCAGGTATATCTAGATGTGAATCTGGAAATATAGCATGTTCTGTTGAATAGCAACTTGTGTGGCTCACTATGCAACTGATAATATATCTGCTGGTATTCTGAATTTGCTTTATACCAGCAAAAACTCCCAACAGGATTTTGACCAACAAGTCCAATATCTATTGAAGGAGATTTCTTAGTGCCAGTGCTAATTTACTGTTCCAAATGCTCTGAACATCTGTTTTCTTACTTTTATATTTCAGGTGCTGAAAAGTTCAACCTCTGGAGTGTAACTGAAAGTGTCTCTGGAGTGTCCCCCCCCCATTCCGGCAAGTGTGTGTGAGAGACCAGCATTTCCATTAGGAAAAGATGATGTCCAGTGAGGGTACTCATCAACAAAATGAAGACTTAGTCCATAAAGAGAATGCCACAGCAAGACAGAGACCAGGTAACTGCAGTTGTGATAACAAGCAATACTCAGAACAAAAGCCTATGAACACGTTCTTCTCCCCCCCACACACACACTTTTTCTGAGAATAATGTTTCCAGTGCTTATTCTAGTTTCGTTTATATGTGTCCATTTACTCCAAACAAATTTCTGAGTTAAGCTCCCAGATGCGACAAGCGCAGTGAATAGTTGTCTGCAGCCTCTTGTTGGTCGTGGGCTGCTGTACAGTTGTAGAGCCAACATGTAAGCACATTTAAATGTATTTGGGTATGCTTTAGCAAGTGTATTTAAAACCGAGCTCTGAAATGCCTAGGAATGTTTTACAAAAAGCAAAGGTACCAACATTGACTATTAGAAAAAAACTCATTTATTTATTTGTTACATTTATAGCCCGCCCATCTAGTCGTACCAACTACTCTGGGCGGGTGACAACGTATTAAATCTAAGTACAATTTAAAAACATAACAACATACAGTGGTGCCTCGCTTAATGGGTGTCCCGTTTAACAACGAAATTGCATACCGACGAACTTTTTGCGATTGCTTTTGCGATCGCATTGCGATGTTTTAAATGGGGAAAAATCGCTTTGCGATGATCGGTACCCTGTTTCGCTTACCGATTATCGCAAAGCAATGATTTTCTAACAGCTGATCGGTGGTTCCAAAATGGCCGCCGGGTAAAAAATAATGGCCACCCGCTGTGTTTTCGCGCGGATTCCTCGCTTACCGGGCAGCGAAAATGGCCGCCGTATGGAGGATTTTCACTTTAAGGTGAGTTTTAAGCCCATAGGAATGCATTGAAGGGGTTTCAATGCATTCCTATGGGCTTTTAAAAATCGCATAGCGACAAAATCGCTTTGCAGCTATTTTTGCTGCACCAATTAACGTTGCTATGCGAGGCACCACAGTATTACTAGAAATGCAAAGATCCAGATAGGAGATTCAAGAGAAAAAAAATCCGGCAGTGGATGGAGCTAAGGCTTGCTTGAATAGCCAGGTTTTCAGTTGGCATTTGAAGATGTCCAGGGAAGGGGCCATACGGATCTCAGGAGGGAGGTATTCCAAAGATGAGGAGCCCCTGCTGAGAAGGCTCAGTTTCTTGTTTTTTCCTTCTGGGCCTCCCTCAGCGTTAAGCTCCTCAGTCTCAACTCCTGGTTAGATCAGGTGATACCTAGGTGGGAGGTATGTGAGGTAATGAGGCCCTAAACAGTTTAGGGCTTTATATGTAAGCATTAAAACTTTGAAATCTGCATGGAACCGAACGGGCAGCCAGTGCAAGGTGGCTAGAGTAGGAGTAATATGTTGTTATTTTCTTACCCCAGTAAGAAGTCTGGCCGCCACATTCTGCACCATCTGGAGTTTCTGCATAGATCTCAAAGGCAGCCCCATGTAGAGAGCATTACAGTGGTCTAATCTCGAGATTATGGGTGCATGGACCAGAGTGGTGAGCGACCCAACATCTAGATAAGGAGCTGGTTTTTTTCATGCTGGTTTTTCTGCAGTGTTCCCTTTGCTGTTCTTTAAAAGCAGTTGCAGTTTGCAAAAATGGAGAGGGCAGGATATGTTTACTCGGTTCAACAGTCTGACTTCCTCTGCAGATACATTTCCTCTGTAGGTATAGTCTCTGTGGCCGAACAGATCCTAAAGCTACATTTGAGCTAGATTGTTTTCAAAGACGGCCAAATCCTCTTGACCATGTCTGAGTGAATTCTTGTGTTCCAGCCTTTACAGAGTAAAGTCCAGAGCTTTACATTAGCAAATATGCTTAGCAGGAAAGGACCTCAGTCTGCTCATCTTCCTAGGAAATGGATGCTTAGCAGGGAGACGCTCCAGACCGTTCTTCTTCAAGGCTTCAGCCTGCTGTTGCAGATACACTAGGCTGGCTTTCTTCTGTGTCGGGGGATCTGGTTGTAAAAATGAACTTTGAGTCTTTTACCAAACTCGGCAGGCAACAGCCCCTCATACACAGCTCTATTATGAATAATAATCAGACCTCTTGAGGAATGCTGCATAAAACAAGTGTCTCGTTTAAGAGTTGCTCAATGTACCAGTCCTGAAAAGAGAAACCCTGTGTCAGTATGATGGGGATTGTAGTTGAATGTATCTTAACAGTGTTACAGCGGGTTGGACTGACATAAACAAGATGAGGTAAAAAATGATGCTACTTTCCTGTGGTCCATCAAGGACAATAACAGGCATGACACAAGCATTGTCAAGTGTCATTCCTGTTTGTTGTCCCTTCCCAAATTCGAGGTAGGTCCGGTCCATCTTCACCAAAGAGCTGACAAGCATCATCCTTCATACGGGGCTTGTATGCTCTGATACTGGCCCCTGCTGCAGACTTCCAGGTAGCACCATGAGCCTATCACAATTTCCACAGTGATCGTGAGCGGCACTACATCAGGAGCACCATAGGAATTGAAAATAGATGCCCACTTCTGCTGCCACAAGGTAAACTTCTGGCTGGGCCTGCTGGCAGACAGGTGACCAACCAAGGGCTTTCTGACTGGGGACCTTCCCCTCAACCTGCAGTGAGCCTCATACAAACTGTAAACAAAGGACAATGCTAATTCATTTGAGTAAATATATAGTATTTATTTGACACTGATAGTCTCCATTTCTGCCCAATACTGAATTGTGTCAGTGTGAGGGGATGTATGTCACATATAAAGAGTTCCTCAGAACAATTTCTCTGTAGTTGTATGAGCACTGAGGGAAAATAATTCCAAAACCATTAAAAATTGCTGAGTGTCCCTTCCCATGCACAGCTTGCCAAACCAAGTTTACATTCTTCTGACAAAGAAGAGGATTGTCCTTATGTTTTCTGTCAGAGGGCTCTTCCTGTGGTGTGGTTTTGTGTCTGAATACTTAAAGCTCAATGATTCACTGCCATTAATGCTTGAATATTTCCTGTGGGTAAATATCTGCTCCATTCATGCTGCTTGTATTTATTTGCATATATTGTGCTGAATATGACTCACTTTAGAATTACACACAGCAGGCTTCAAGAACTGCAAGTGGCAATGGATGGAGTTTTCCTTCTCCGTGATTTTGAAATCAGAGCTGGAGTTTTCCTGCAAACTTACTCAGATAACAGAGCAGTGGTACATAGAAATGTGAACTCCCACCCCAGACATTCTGGAGATACAGGCAAATTGAGCCTAAGACTGTTTTCACGAGCACCACACACTGGGTTCGGTCTGGATTTGGTCATGTTTAAAATAGACCCATTGAAATAAATGTGATTCGATTTAGACATGGCTAACACAACTCCCACTGAGTCAATTCTCAACATGACCAAGTGGAATTTAATACTTTCCAGAAAAAAGATGGAAGAAGGTCACAGGGTCAGCCCTATCTTTAGGCTGAGTGGGGCCTCGGGCTGCTGAATCTGAGTGTTATAAAAAGGCAGCAAATTGTTGTTTATTTATATATATATTTTCATACAGAAAGTGGAGGAAATGCAAGGTGCATTTCCTTGCTCAGGTGCAAAAATGACTGGGCCAAAGTCTTGGGTATTACTCTTTGGTGGTTGGGGCAATTTACCATTTTCTGTTCCACCTTAGACAGCAAAATATCTTTAGCCAGCCCTATATGCAAATCCTACTATATACCTTGGACACAACAGGCTCTGGAGTAAGGATTGACCTCTTCCCTCTTCTCTATTGCATCTTTGACTGCCATTTTCCTTGGTAGGAGGCCGAGAAGATGAAAGAGAGAAGGCCATGGATCTGACACAATGCACACAGCCCGCCAAGCACAATGTATAACCTTGAGGAGGCAGATTTCCAGATAGTTTCCCTAAATAAATAAGGCTAAAAAATATCATGGGCTGCTCATTTGATACTAATTTTAAAATATGTGGATTTTACTCTGTGTGGTGTTTCACCCTGAAAGAGTGACGTGACAATTATCACCTCAACTCCACTTCTTGAGGGAATTAGTTCCTCACCTTATCCTTTTCAACCTCTGGTTCCACAATCAGATATCTAAACCGCTGAGCTATCCAGCCAGATGTGTAGGGTCCATATGTGAGCAAATGCCAGATTTTTCCAGGAACTTTTCCTCTTCAAGCCAGATAGACCTCGATAACTGAGGGTGGGTGTGTGTGCTAGGTTCCTTTTTAAGCATGTTGGCTGTACCAAGTTGACAAATGCCAGAAGAAGAATAGAAGACCATAGACAAAGACCTATGAATCCTTTCTTTTCTTCCTCAAAGCCCCCCTTTGAACTGTCAAAATTATTAACTTTCATTTGTCAACTGCCCACAGAATCCCACTGCCCAGGCCACTCTCAGAAAAGAAAACTAATCAAATTAAGTTCTGTTTGCATAATAAGCAGTGCAACTTTTTATATCCAAATAAATGTATAAGCTGCCGAATGGTCATAAAACACAATAAACTTTTACAAGTATGGCAACGGGATTTTATTTTTTTGGGGGGGGCTTCTGTTAATTGCAGCAAAATCAGCAGACTCCTGCGATTCTAAGAAATTTATTTTGGCATGAGGTTTATCAGATACAAATGATATGTAAGTCTGGGATGACTCAGCAGCCAATATGGAATAAGTTCAAACCACAGAGAGTCTGTAGGCCTCCAGTGTATGCATGAAACCGACAGGCATGTTGTGACAGAAGATGTAGAAAAACATAAGCAATGACATTCAGTGTGAAATAAAAGCTGAACATTACGGACTGTGATTACTGTGCTAAAACTTAAATGTATCGAAAATAAGCATAGCATTTTAGAAAATTGAAATGTTCTCCCATTAGCCTCTCCACATTCCTTGTATCATGTCAGATTTTTATCTGCTTTTTTTTTTTCCTACACTGACTGATCTGTATGTCGTCTGTGAAATGCAGAAGGGCAGTGTGGAAGATAATAGTTATAACACACTAGAAGATGAGCAAGTGACTGAACTCTTGATGTTTGTGTACGACATTATTAGTTGTTATAGTAATGTGCTGCCTGAGTGATCTACTGTTTGTGTTTGTGTCTTTATT